AATATAATAATTATTATTTTTATTAATATTAGAAAAAAATATTAATGCATCACTTCAGGAAGCTCCACACAGATATAAAATTCAAACAAATTATTTTTTCTGGTGCAAAATTTTTAAGACTTCTAAACTTTGAGTGCTTTTGAAAACTTAACTTCAAATATCAGAGGAGGAAAATGTTTTATTCTAATTGGTTCTGAGAATAGTAAGTAATCTGAAAGAGTAACTTGAATTGAAAATATGTGGTGCAAATGCCATAATAAAAACAACAAAACAGAAGATACATAGGAATTATTTTTATTTGCCTTCAAAGTACTCTCCATAAGACACAACACACTTTTGACAATGTTTGTAAAGCTTCTGGAAACAATTAGAAAAGTCTTGTTTTGGAACTATCTTCAGAACTGCTGTCACATAGGCCTGAATCACAGAGATGCCTGCAAAATGTGAGGTTTACCGATTGAGTGAAAAGTGTTGCAACAATTGAGTGGTCAGCACTGTCGTGTGGGAGTGGAAAAACTCATTGAGACAGGTTCTCCATCGTAAACTGTTTAATAAATATAAAAATTTCTTACAACAAATCCTTAAAAAGGTGTAACACCTATCCAAAGTCAAGAAACAAGTTCATAACACAAAAAATTCAACTGTTCTGACAGTAGTTTTTCTTCCGGCGATGGTGGCGTGAAGATGTCAGCTCCAGGGTGCATAACATTACTTGGACTAAGGTCTTCTAGCTACAAGGTGAACTTTAGCGATCTTGACGGCGCAGAAGGGTGAGGACAAGTCCCCTGAATATCTAACAAGCTCTCGTGGGAGAACGTCTGGATGACAAGAATCTTGGAGAGGAGTACTGCAAACCAAGAACCAAGAACGTCACATCCTTTTTCTGCACGGTTTTTATATGTTTCCTTTGGGTCCCAGATCGAACATTCCGATAGGTCAATGTCGATTTGTCCCCACTCTCCAATTGGTTCCCTTCCTCGTTACGAATTGTAACAAGATCAGAAGCCGGATCGTGGGATGAGTCAACACTGACTGACAATTTGATTCCTATCAAAGATGTTCGGTCTAAGCACTCAAATTCATCTATTGTTTTAATCTGAGTAGTTCAATTTTCTTAGAAATTTCTACAGACATGTCCTTATACGGACATAAAATATTCATTTTTTGTTTGATTTGTGGTGTATCCCACCATGTATATATATATGTTTTATTCGCTAATATTCTATGTTATCTGTAATTTCTTCATCTACGTAAATAACCCGCACTATATTTCCTTGTTTGACTCTTCCAACCTATATGCACTTTCTGGCTTGTTTTGGGCTGAAAAGAGGCACCAACCAACAAGGCAGCGTAGGAAGACTTTTCTTCTTTGTTCATTCTTGGAGAAGCAAGCAAAGGGAGAATCATGTGAGGAGAGAAGGGAACATGTCCATGAGGTCAGTAGTATACACTAAGTTCATTGTGGTAAACGTCGGAAGATTGCCCAACCTGTTATATGGATATATCCTTCTAACATGACCTTTCTGTATTCTTTTTTCTAACCTAGATTATATTAGTTTTTATTTTAAGTTAAGTTAGTTATAATTAGTATTATAATACGATTCTAATGGATTGTGTACTGGCTGGCTTCAGGACCCGCACGTGTAACCGGATATACGAGCCTTGTGAACGAGAGAAAAAGAGGAATGGTTTAGACTTATGTACTTCAAAATGGTTAACATGTAATATTATGGACAATTTTGAGCTCATGTATTTTGAATAATTTGTAGATTAACTGTAAATAAATAATTTCCTTTATCGTTAATTGAAAATTGTGTTAATACATGGTGTATTATTTGAATAATACGCTTTTCATTAACCCATCACACCACAGATGGCTTCTTTTTACAACATTATAATAATTATTATTTTCTTCTATACAAAAATTAGAAAAAATTTTCTGTTTTTGCACAAATTCTAGTCCCACTTGCAAAGCTTCACAAATATGATGGCAAGGACCTCTTCAAGGCAAGAAAAAAATCAAAAACATACCAAACTATTGCAATCTTCATTTAGAATCAATTTTATTTTTATTGTCAATTTTTATTTTTTAATGACAGCTTCAAGGCAAGGGAAAAAAATTCTGTAGGCACAATATCAGGCAATACAGCAGATAATCCAAAAGTGTCACACCACTCTAAGGATCTTACAGTGCACTGGTGCAATGTTGTGCAGCAAAAACCTTCCAGTCCTGTAGAACTCTGGCTGTATGTGCCAGATACACTTCAAAAAATGTTTCAGAACTTTCATGTTGTGCCATTTGTTCTAATGCTTTATAATACAACCTCTCACACAGACTGTGCTTGAAAGACTATGGCAGAAGCCCACTTGCAGACAAGTATATTCTACTGTGATGTTCGTTGTGATAAGTATGAGGTCCCATGAGTGTAATGGTACAAATAAACACTCGTTAGATTTTTCGACACAAAGTAATTTATTATTGGTTCAAACAGGTTTTTTTTTATTTTTCTTTTGGATCCCAACACTACAAATGGTTTCTGTACACACAGGCATTAAAATTTGATCTAACAAACAGCGGGTTAATTGAGCGCAACAACTATATGTGGGGCATAACTTATAACTAATACTTATAACCAGGGGCGCCGCTAGCTGTTTGAACGCCCGTGTGCAATACCGATTATGCCGCCCCCTGTTTAACTACGATTACCTATGCTGAGCTTGCCAGAAAGGCTCTTTGCCGCCCCCTGGACATGCCGCCCGTGTGCGGTGCACGCCTTGCACGCCCGCTTACGGCGGCCCTGCTTACAACTAAAGAAAGAAGAACAGAGTAGACGAATAAGAATAGTATAAGAGGAAGATGGAAATACTGTGGTGGTACACCGGTATATTTTTATTTGTCCATATATATTTTATATATGTTTATGTATTTTCCCTTCCTTCCTTCTTTGTTCTTTTGTATACAACTTCCTGGAACTTTCTTCCAAGTATGGGTGGTGGGTGACCTGGTTATGGGACAAAGGAAAGGTATAGCCCAGAGGGCAAAAAAAGGAGTCACTTAAGGCCACTTTTGCTCAGAACTTCGAAGAGAGAAGACACATCTGAGAGGTCTCCAGGTCGTTTTTGCATCGACCTGGAGGAGTATCTTCAATTAAGGTCATCTGAAGGGCCAAGTGGAATATTGATCGACTTTCACATACAATCGGTCCCCACAATCTAGAACGATATCATCCAACCACCGCCACTTCAAACGCCAACTATTAAGTACCCATTCTTGCTTGATACTATATTTCTACCTATCCTATTATCTATCTTTTCTCTCTTTCCTTTATTAGAATAAGTAGTAGTTAAGGTATTGATAAGTATTTCTTTGTACTGCGATATATTTTTTTGTTCTGCCTGTGGATCTAAAAAGGTTTTGTTTTGAGCGAAAAAGGTATTAGGAGTGTCAGAATCCGGAAAATCCTGCCAAGTGTTAATATACGTGTAGAATAAAAGAATGTTTTGTTATTTTAATATATGCATCCCTTTGTTAAATAAACCTCACTACGTGCATATGACCACAATACCTGGGATTTTCTTGAGTTCATACTCTTGGGTGGGACATCACTTTGGAGCTTTCCTGGAACATTATTTCTTATCCTTCCTGTAGACCTTTTGTATGATTCTTTCAATAGCTTCCTTCAAAGTTCTCTTATAGGAATTCCTTCCTATCGATTCCTTGGCTCCTCGTAGTCCCCAATCATCTTACACTCAATCTGGAGTACTACCTCTTTTCCGTCCTTACTCTTCGGAATTCGAGCCCAAACTGCTTCTCTCCTCATTTTCTTGGTCTCAGGGACTTACTTCTTCTTTTGTTCTACTACTCATTTCTTGGAATCGGTAATCCCACCCAAGGGAAAAGGGTTGAAAAGGAAAGTTCTAGAAAAAGTAAAGATAAAGGAACAAAGATACGGCTAAGACTAAAATTAATAAATACAAAATATACAATATTATGGGCGATGGCCAAACTACATTAGAAGCCACTTTAAATAGTGAGAAATATTTATACCTAACAATTTCAGCCCTGCTGTTTAAAAGTGTTACTTTTCTAATCTTAATTTTAACTGTGTTGTAGATGGTTATTGTATACTGTATATTTTAAAAATGCAATATATTATATATAATATAATTAAATGTAAGATTCAAAATTTTGTCTTTTTCATATTACTATTTATAGGTCATGGAGTACTCTGCACCTCTGCTTCAACCTAGTAACTAATTCCTGCCATGTGCCATTTTGTGGAAACACTACTAAATGGTGTAATGCTGTTAAAAGCATTTTATGGTATCATGAGATGCAGTGGCCAAACAAGCAGGACTGATCTCTGGGTGGATGATGGTCTTGGAAAATGACACTGCACTGTTTATCAGTGCTGTTGCAGGAGAGTGCATGTACCAAACTGCTTTCATACAATTGTCTTTATTTTGTATACTGGTTTAATCAGCACTGGTTTTGATTTTAAAAAATTAGTTTTAATTGTGTATAATAATTTATATGAATTACTAAGATATTTAATATTTAATAAACTTATTTAATTAATTTATTTAATAAAAATCAAGACTTCTTCTTTTTGTTGAAAGTGTCTTTATTTTATATTTCTTTACCAACTCAAAATGAAGTGATATTCTCAGGGCTGCAGAGTCAGGAAAAAAACACTCTACTCTGACTTCAACTCTTGATAATTTTAGTAGGCCGAGTCTGACTCTGGCAAAATTAAATACCAAGTCATTTTATAGGGGACTGAGGTGGTCATAGGGGTTAACCTACTCTGACTCTGAAAGGCATTTATCTAAATACTTTTATAGTTAGTATTTTTAATATTTAACTTACATCAATATTTATTTATATAAAATAATTAATTTTTAACAAATATTTAATAAGAGG